CTGCTGTAAGAGACGGTCTGAAGATTCCCTCATCTGTCTCACAACCGTCTCAAGGACAGAGACTGAGACCCTGAATATCACAAGGGACTTGGTTTGGGGGTTTGGGCCTAGCTGAGATGGATGTTTGCTCAGTGATTGTTTGCAGGTGGTTGCACGGTACACTGCTCTCGTTCCTGCTGGTGAGCAGAGGCTTGGTAACCTGTGCAACGGGTTTTCCTGACTCATGGCTCTCGTTCCTGGTGGTGAGCAGAGGCTTGTGCGTGGTACTCTGTGCAATGGGTTTTCCTCAACACTTTGCCCTCATTCCTGCTGGTGAACAAAGACTTGCATGACACAGATTGCTCTGTACCCTACACCTGCTCCCCGCACAATGGAATTCATCACAATGATCATCAATCTCATCTGGTTTTGGCCCTGCGCCCCTCGCTTTGCAAAAGACTATAAAATTATACCCCAAACTTACCTTCCTTTGAGATCTCCCCAACGGACAGAAGACTCTGCATCGTTGGACGGCTGAGTGGACTTCGATGTTGGTAGCTATAATCCCCTTACTCTCTTTTCCTTATGCTTTGCTTTCTCTTTTCTTTCCCTCTATTGCATATTAGTGCTGATGAGCACTCAATAAAGTGTGTTTTGCTGTTTAAGTCCTTGGTTTGCTGATAATCTTTGGTACTCTAAGACCGGCTAAAAGAACCACATCACAAATCCCACCTCGCGGATCGTGACATAAATTGGCGTCACGGACAGGATTCTGAGAGACAGAAGGGGTTGCAGGTTGTTGTGCAGTCTGTATCAGGGGAAGGACGTTTCGCTTCAGCTGCACCTAGCCTGCCACGCTGGTGAGCAGTGTCTAGAAAGCAAGGGAGGCGACTCGAATTTCTCGCAAACTGCACACGCCCAGGTGAAAAGCACCCCTTACACTCATTTGAGGGCTCTGTCTTCAGAATTTTACATGGGATCTTTGAGTACAAAAGGTGGGACTCACTGGTTTTTTATATGCTGACTGCTTGGTGTAGCGGAGAGACAACCTGAATTTTAACATAAAGGGGTGCCTCCCATGCAGATTTGGTCTCTCCACCCACGGCAGGGGGAAACGCAGCATTGGCTGCGTCTGATGTAGTGTGAGTTTTTTACCTCCCTGTAGTGGTTCTGTGTACTGTTATGTATTTTTGATGAATTTTGACTGCTTGGTGTAGTGAAGAGACAACTTGAATTTTAACATAAAGGGGTGCCTCCCAAGCAGATTTGGTCTCTTCATCCATACAGGGATGCGAAGGGTGACGTGGCAAAGGCTGCGTTTGTGCATAACTTAAGTCTTACCTCCCTGTAGTGGTACTGGGCCCTTCACACACAAAGATGAGTGAACACTCTGAAAACTCTAGTATAAAAGATAAAGCTGCATTCATTACTTTGTTAGCAAAACACAATGCTAAGCCCTCCCCAGCTGGGGAAGAATGGGCTCAAAATAATTGGTTCAACCTGGAAAATGTAACTGATAGAATTTGCTCCCTGCAACATGAGGCAAAATTCAAATTTGGCCGTAATAAAACCATAATTTGTTCTGTATTGGGAGCTTGCCTTACGTCAGCTGTAGAGGCTCGCACAAGACGAAGGCAGGAAGAAAATGCAATTATTGAATCCCTACAAAATTTAGTTGAAAGTCTGCAAAATGAAAATAATTTGTTACGAACTGCTTTGAGTGAGTGTGCCAAAAATTCACAGTATGCTGACTCCTTTAAGGAGTCGTTGGAAAAAGAAACTCCTCAGATAAATCACATATATTCTCAAGCAAAATTGTATTTGGTAAAAAATTGTGGTGTTCTCTATCCAAAAAAGCTTTTCTTATGCTTATGTTTCCTACCAAAATACATATTGCTAGAGAATTTACAATTCTCTAATTGGATAATTAATTTGGATAGCAAACTACTTGTTTTTTTTAGTAAACAAGAAGACTGTATTTATTGAAACTCTCCTATCTTTTGG